TTTCTTTGAGAAGAAACAAAATTAAAAACAGTAAAGAAATAGGAAGGTATGAAAATGCAGTTTTTATTCATTGGATGGGAAAGGCTCCATTCACATAAGGCTGAATGCGCTGCATTTCACTGCTGCCACAATTACACTGAAAGGTCAAGTATTACCGCATCTTGTGTTCCGCGCTGCATGCTAAGTATTTCTTCTTGCAAATGACCCTCGTCTGCGTGCGCAGCACAATGGCCTCAAGAAGCAGGACAATTATGCTGGACAATTAAATATATTTTTTCTACTAGTTGACAATAAGATTTACTAAAGGAGGTGATTGCAGTTAATGTGTAATTGTGCCATTTGTCATGCACATACTCAGATGAAGCTGGTCTAAGAATGAGGTGTTGGAAGTCGTACACGAAAACCAGTCTTGCTCATCATAATTTCTTTTTGTTACTTTGCTTTCACGAATCCCATTTAAGATGTATTTAGATGGAAGTATGCATTCGAAAGTTGGAGTTTTCTATCGAAGAGCATTTCTTTGTCCATTTTAAGCAGAGGCTTGTACTATTCTTTAGTTTTAAAGACTCAAGTTCTCAGTGCAACAATACCGACAACGACATATTTGCTTTATTTGGCTGTATAACTGTAAACGATCAAGTCTTTATAATAAGACTTTATAATTAGTGCAATGTTAAGCGTCTTGCAGTGTTTTTCCTTTTTGCAGTAGTTGCCTTTTCATTCCCCTTATATCTTGTGCTGTTGTGTCAAGAATACAGTTTGTACCATGCTGAAACGTGGTGTTGGATATTTCACTAAAAGAATCATGTTCTGTCATTTGAACAGATTTTGGACCGTTCTCGCCTGACTTTGCTGCGGACTGTAGCTAAATTGTCCAGTTAAGCATTTCATTTAAAACTACTTTTGTGGTTTTAAGTTATACAATTTTACTTGAAACGGTTGTGTTTGGAAACAAAGTTTTTTTATTATTAATTAAGTATAGTTTACATGGCAATGCTGGCGGAAAAAAAAACTTCAGCACCCCGGACAGCTCCAGAGCAAATAACATAATGCGAACTAAAAATACTACATAATGTGGGCAAATCATTGCATAACCTTACTTTTCGAAGGTGTGGCTGAAAGAAGTTTGTTTTGTGTTTCAAGTCAGCGAGCGGTGTAAATAAAACATGGTCGCTTGAGTAAAATCAATTGACATGATTATTGGTTATTAAGCATAAAGACTTATTTGTTCTATCTGACACTTAGGCCTTTCTGATGTTTACATTTACGTGAACACGATGTTTCTTTCTACACTTTAAAATTCTTAGTAGGACATTGCTCTTAAATCCACCTAATTATTAATAATGTATTGATAACATTATTAAATGAAATATATGAATAATGCTAAACATGCATGATTATTTTTTGTCGATACCACAGAGTCCAAACTTTGTGGTTTATCTATAAGATTCAATACAAAATACGCCATAAATGCAGATAGTGTATATTAACCCCTTTCTCCGAAGCAGGGAACGAACCTCAGAAACCCTAACTCTAATATGATTGCGTTGAGATTGAGGTCTAATTGCAGGGAGGTGACTGGGACCTTTGCACCCAAAGCCTCGAGGACAGTCCGCAGTTGTGCAACGTGTGTTGAGGGAGAGTGATGAGAGCATACACGCTTCCAACAAGTCATTTTCAACAGCTACAAGCTCCACACAAAGACCACACACCGAGCCTCAGACATGTTAATGTAATCTGGACTCTTTCAGAGGAGCTCTAACAAAACGAATCCCCGAGATCCTTATAGACTCTTTCGGCGCCGGTAGATTGCTGTGGGAAATGATTGAATTTGCACAACGGATAAAAGAGAAAATCTTACTTGCCCATAAAATGAACATTTATTTCATGTATGTGGTTAATCAATTTATCCAGCCCTGCAAAGTACGCACGGTTAGGATATCAGACATCCTCAAACATATGTCTAAATACTAAAGGACATTAACAGTGACACGTAGGCTACTCTTATGAAGTAAACTTTATAAATATTATATCTTGTCACGATAAACTGACTAACATTTTAAGGAATAAATATTTAAAATTCTCAAATCTTTTTTTAGGTTGGGTGAAAAATATCACATTATAATATCCCAGTATTCTCCCATTGATCTTGTATTTTTAGATATTGTACAGATATTGCTTAGAGTTTTAGGTGGAGGTTACATATAATTGAGTATCAGTGCAAGTAAAAGAAGCCTTCGAAAGTATAATTTCGGACATAATCGACAAAATGATTTGTTGATTTAACGACCCTTCACAGAAAAGAAGAGCGCCATTACAATCAGTGAGTCATTAAAACGCGCGTCCCACTGCCCGTTCATTGGCGCGAGAGCTTCACGTGAATACCTTCATCAGTTGAAGGTTTACTACATGCAGAGGGTTTTATGTGCGATTAAAAGGTACAAAACCCCAGGCCAGAACAGCAACAAGGGCCATACCGAGCATTTGGCCTAATGGCCAAGTTGTACAAGTTTTGCTTTGCATCAATAGTTAAATTAGAGCTACTATAGCTGTTGGTGCGGTGTAGCCTATAAAATATCAGGCTAAATAGTGCACGGTTTAGGCCTACTATAGTCCCCCCACCACACACAAATAAGCGAGAGTTGTACACATTAAGATCAATCAATGTAGGCTACTGCAACTCTGGTTTGTCAAGAAAAAAAAAAAAACTTGGGCGATGAAATGACTGCACACCGTTATCATCCATCACAACGCTGGGGTTAATCTCAGGCCCTAAAGATAGCCTTATTCTAGAAATACAATTTTGGTCAATTTAGCAAATAGGTCTACGTATTTTTTGGAATTATAAGGGAAAGAGAACGGTGTAATTATATCATAAAAGCAACAATGATATCAATGGTTTAGTTAAAAAAAAAAAAAAGTTATTAAAATAATTTAAATAACAAAACAATGCCGAAACTTGAATTTTATCATTTCAATAAAATTGAAAATTTAGATAAATATTTTGCCATCACATAAACGGTCATTATGTTTCCCAAATCTGCATGCCGTAGACTACCATTCCCTGTGATCACGCAGGCAAAAAAAAAAACTATAGAAGTGTTTATAATTCAAAGAAGTCCAAAATGATTTGGATGCTATCAGAACGCAAGAAGAAAGAAAGTCAAAGACACGCGCGGCCTTTCAGTCCACAACCGATTCTTGTGTGTAGCAAATAGTTTGTAGCTTTTTTGTTTTCCGTGTGTGGGCTATTTATTTAAATGTATTTTTATTTGATTCTGAACTGGTCAAAAAGTTTAATGGAAATGTCTCTATCATATTTCATTTCATTATTTCTGTCTGTGGACAACATCTGTTTTCTTGGCACTAGCAAGTCCCACATACACATAGAAACATACGGCACGCACTTTTTAAACGTTCTGGCAGGCACCTCAGTCAATCTTACCGCGCCCCTCAGATGCTTACGGTCTTTATCAGTGTAAACACGGTGGCATTTGATTTTACCTCTGATCTTCACAAACACGGTATTGATGAACGGCGCTGTGATAAGTGTGTTTATTTCGTCTTGCAAAGTTATTTAGGAGAATGCTTCTGTTTGTACAGCGATGTGATTGATAAGTTAGCTTTTAGGATCGTTTGTTTGATGTGAGTTTCTCTCAAGGAGTGGAGACCTCACCTGCACTGACTCATTCTCTTACGACAAAGAACACTCTCCAAAAAGAAACCTGTACCAAAACTTTTTTCTTAGAAAAAGTCATAGACTACGGCGTATTAAATAAGTTAATAACAACTAGCTTGGGATAGAAAACAGATCGTTGGAATTAGATTTTACAATCAAATTGGTATGAAACATTTGTGTGTTTTATATAGGCTAAGCATTTGTAAAATATTTAATAACTGTTTCGTGCAAAAATGCACAAAACGTTTTTCATTTTGTGCCTGAATAGATCCCGGGTTTTGTCAGTTGTATAAATGTTTTTACACGACGCAAAATTGACTTCCGTCAACATGTTTAGGGTAGCCTACCAATATTTGGCGTTTGACTCCAGAGGGTGTTGCGACACACAGAAAACTGCATTACTATTTGTAGAATGAACACTTTACCATAAGGCATGTGATGCAACAATCCAGCTCCACAAACCTGTCACACTGAAGGGAGACCCAATACAATCAGTAGAAATGGTCGATTTCAAACAATGAGCGACTGCAGCAAAAAACCTTCTAATGTGTATTCGGAAAGCTTGTACACATTTAATGGCTAATTGTGTGGAAGTTTGATGACTTTTAAACTAGTTTTCTTGAAGAATTTTTTTTTTAATTGGTCAGGTCCCACTTTTAGCACCGCCGAGTGATTGATTCTTACACCCAAATTTAAAACAAACGTACTGTTAGGCTATTGTTATTACTGTCATAATTTATTAATATGATTGTATGACTGCGTTTAAGTCAAATATCTATATAAGTTACAAGAAAATTAAACGTACAAATAACAATGAAAATGAAAAACAGGTGACCCTTAATATCGATAAAAATTTTGTACAATATAGGCTACATATCGCTAAAAACTATGTAATCAGTCCAAAACTTTTACAGAAATATACAAGCTACGTTTACAGTGAAATCTATAATAAATCATGAAAGGTATTTAGCAGTCTAACTGTGAGGGGAGATGTCTTCATTGTCGGGACATTTTTTTTAAATCCAACAGGATGACAGAATATTTGATTTTAGTGTTTAAATCAGTCTCCATTTAAAATCTAGCGTATATAAATAATTCCATCTTCTTAATGGTGTTTTGGCGCTCATCCTCAAAATAAAAGATTCGATACCTTTGACATTTGGCAATCCTCGTGTTGCTTGTAGCCTTGTCATGTCTCTCTCCAGGAAGGAGACAATGATTTCAGAGCGCAACCACTGTTCTCATGGTCTTTTTGAGCAGGGTATACAGATTATCTGCATCCACCTGTCATTTTGTTATCGTGTTATTGTCTGTTCCGATGTCACCACGTCCTGCCATAGAGCAGAGCGGAGCAGGGCAAGGCAGCTCCATACTCGGAACCAGAAGAGTTCAGGTGCGACAGGCCGGATACCTGGGTTTGGAGAGATGGGGGGCTTGCAGCATGTTGACCCAGATCTGGGGACTGGCCGGCGCTGCCTACCTGCTGACTTTGATGCTGGCCCATTGAAGAACCGTTATTGGACATAATCATGGCGTTTCCCCCCTGGTGATGGTGGTTTTGTACACCAGTGTTGGGTGTATGGCTGCTGCCCTGACATGGCTTTCCGTCTTTCACCAACACTGGCACGGCCACCCGCCGTGGAGACTGTTGCTGCTGCTGACAGGAGCCATTGTCTTGTTGCAATTGCTGCTGGGACACTTTGTCCTTGGCCTGCCTCTTCATTTTATATCGGTGGTTTTGAAACCAAATTTTAACTTGAGTCGGAGTCAAGTGAATCATGCTGGCCAGATGTTCCCTTTCCGGCGCGGAGAGGTACTTCTGCTGCTTGAACCGTCGCTCAAGCTCGTACACCTGCGCCTGGGAGAAGAGTACTCGTCTCTTCCTGCGAGGCGTGCTGGTCAACGGACCCATGCCTTTGCCAACATCCGCCAGTGAACTCAGCGTGCTCATACTGCCCATATTCATACCAGACGAGGAGCCCATGAAACGAGAGACTGCAAGAAGAACAGTCTTATTTAGCTTTGCAATTTGACAACAACGGCAGACACAAACAGCGCAGGTTCAGTATCATATATGATGACTACAGAAAATACAAACGCTCCTTAGCTCAGTGAGTTACAACAAGAGCGAATATAGCGATTGTGCACAATTACGCAATCGTCTCTTTGTTTAAATTCCTAGTTTCGGACAAACACTGGAACTGCAGTTAAGAGTCTGTTAATTGTTGCAGTTTGTTTGGGTTTAGATAAAACACCTGGCACGTTTAACGTGAGGTTGGCTTAACATAATTCCCCTCAATACGGTCAAGCGCCACGTTCACTTGGACACTTGGAGTTTTACAGAACAGCATAAACAAAAAAATCGTAGCTGACATGTTCAGTGTATTTTAAAATTCACAAACAGTTATTGCAAATACGACATAAAAAGTCAATCTCACGTACTTGTAGAGAAGCGTGGGTCTGGATTCGTTCCGTACCAGCTGGTGGCCGTCGTGCTACCTCTCATGCCGTCTTGATAGGCCGGCAGGTCGCTCATGTTGCCCAAATTCCCGTTACAGTAGCCCCCCATGGCTGTATGTGACAGCTGGGAAACCCTTGCGACGTCTCAGCAACACTGACTGACAAATAAATAAATACATATGCGCGTGTTAAGAGGCCAAGTAAATGATTAAGCCCCTTTCCGTTTGATATTATTGGACATAGGCAGCGTCTCGTCCAAATTCCCATCCACTCGGCTGAGACGCGCGGTACTGAGGAAAATGAACTCGGGAGGACGAGAGGCTCTCAGGTCAAGTTAACGACGCTGAAATAACCTGAGTAAGTCCTGAAGTAACTCCTCGTAAGTTCAGTAATGCATTGCTTACCAGTGCGCATCGTCTTGACGCCCTTGGACTTCCTCAGTATAACTGGACAATAAAACAGTTTTACAGAATCGAATCTGGATATCAGTTGGATAGTAGACTTAACGAAATCGGCTTTGAGAGATTTGTTGTACAAAACAGACTATTTTCATTTCATACTCTTCTTTATTATTATAAATAAAAACGACGACGACAACAACAACGCCAATAATAATAATAATAATAATAATTATTATTATTATAACAAATATTAAAATTGAATTTGTAGCTATTTGCGAAACAACGCGTTGTCCTATGCTACTCTCAATCTAATATCTGTTACAATAATGACAAGACAAAATTACATTTTTCCCCTCGTCCGGCTTGGATAAATTAATGTGTGGCGCTAACATAAATTTACTTACAGTAACACCAATTTAGCGTATCAAATTTAAAACTGCTAGTAAAAAAGTAAACAGACATTTTGGGACACCAAGTATTCATGACTTTTGGATAAAACAATGACTTGAAATGCATTCAACTCTCATGGGGGTAAGATCCACCAGTTGTAGACTGAAATATTTGGTGTAAACTTTAGTTCTTTTGCGTTCATTCAGTCTCCTCTGAACGCCGCAACCTTCTAGACGGCTAAACAAAATGTAACAGCAAGTTAAAAAAAAATCTTAAGCAAATTTTGAAGGGAACCACTGATCATTTGGTCTTTATAGCGGCCAGGGATTACAAAGACTCTGTGTATGGTTTAAGACTAATTTATTATTTCAATTTGTAATGGAGTTAAGGCTAAAAAAACACAATGTTTTCTCTTTGCAAAGATACCGTGCTATTTATTTTCCGAGTGTCTACTGTTGTTCATCTAAAGACCCAAACATGCCACAAAAATTAGTCGGTGACTGATTATGAGATTATTGTGAATATAAAATCAGGGAACACAAATTCTGACGCATTTTTATTATTATTTTACTGCGCTTTTTAATGTTTGCTGCCGGAATTCAAATGTCACCTTCAGAAAACGGCAACTTTCTTTACGTTATGTAGCCTATTTCTTTGTTTCTTTTCGATCTTATGGAACTGAAATGAGCAGCTGCTCTGAAGAGCCAGGAATACACACAAAAAAGTTAACCTATGTATATATTTAATTTATCCTATGCCTAATAAATCTAATAAAATACAAACTGTACGGCACAATAATAACAAAGAAGACCAACGGATATGCATGAGGCAGAATAACATAACATGTCATGAGCTATTAGGATGAGCCAACAAACGTTTATCAGGAGGGAATACAGCGTCTTCTGGTGGTCACTGAATATTTGACAAGACGAAAAAGCTTTCTGTTCAAGTGTGCGTAGACTGATCATTTTAGTTTTCTCAAATGCCACAACACATTAGCAACTTTTTACAGTTTCGGAAAAAAAAAAGAAAAAGAAATAATTTTCATTCGTAACATTACGGATATTTATATAGTAGCTAATATCCAGCGTTCACATCTTTGGCCAGTAGCCTACTCCAACTTTACAGAACGCTTGTCACCTTTTAAAGCAAAATTAAAATGTATCATCTTTAAATTAAGAAAACTACGCATTTCTCTAGTTTGAAGTTAGCACAGGTGGGTGTAGTTTGTGCACCAGTGATGATAATCGCGAGTGCAATTATAACAATTAGTGTCAAAACTATGGGGCGTCCAACGTTGCTTTCAAGGTGTTCGGCCTACTTGATCCAGTTTACAAAAGGCTCTCTTAATTATCTTAATCAGGCTCACTCCTCTCTACTGGAGTACGGCTATCATGGCCAATTAACGGCAATTAGTAGTATGCTTTGTCTTGTTTTTAATATCTTTTTCTATTGACAGCAAAAAAGTGTTTTAGGGAAGATGTACAGAAGAGAGCGCTGCGGTCAGTCCCCTCCATATGTAGTACAAGGTGGCCTGAGAGAGGGGGACAAAAGGCCAGGTGACAAGGATGATACTAACTGGGTCGCTGAATTAATTGGGGAAAGCTCGGGATTGAGAAAGCAAGATAAATCACGCCTCTTTCATTTATGTTACGACAATGATCACCCTCTTTTAAAATATGGAGAAGACAGTAATTGTCTGCACTTTCTAAAGTCAAAGTGCCATTTGTGACAAACCGCTGCTTAATTTATTTTTAGGTGTGTTGGGGTAACAATTTTAAGAACATTTAACAACTTCTGTTTTCTTATTTGGTCACCAAAGCTTCAACCAACACTCAAATATGCTTAAAAACAAACAAAAAGGCTTTTAATGCGGTATATTAATATTGCGTACCGTAAAAAAAGACAATAAAAGCCAGAATGTTAAAATTTCACTATCACGCAAGAATCAATAACCATTGTGCATCCTACATTTCTTGTTCAGTGCTAACCTACTTTGTTGAGTCTTAAATAAGGGTTCTTTCTTTAAGCTGGTTATTTGGTCTTCTCTGTTGGGTGAAAGTGGACGTCTTAACATTACAAAAGCACTCATCTCTTGCTGTGCGCTAATTGTCGTACTCTTTTTCAGTTCAGTCCGAGATCTTTTTTACAGACAGTATGTAACAATCGAAGGGATTAATTTTTTGTTAACCTTTTTTAGGTAAACGAATTAAACATATGCAAAAAATAAATAAATAAAAACAATAATCCTAAAGCCTAAGGAGAAATTAAATATTTTAAAGCATTAATAATTAAAAGAAGTGATTTTAAGCTTACGGAATATTTGGTACAATGTGTATAAACCAACAATAATTTTGTTCAATAATTCAAACAACTATAAATTGCTAAAAATTTATTTTTTTTAATTCTCTTTTTTTTGTAATACATAAAGAACGAAAACGTGTAACACTTTAAGATGAGGCAATTTCATCAAATTATGACACTACATCATTCACAGTATAAAACATAAAACTTTTTTTTTTCTCACTGATTTAAATAAACTTTTGGTTTAGAACAAACACAAACAGTTCAAAAATACACTATCTAGGCAATTATAAACAACATCAATTAATACAAAACTCTCCCAAAATGCAACTAAATAGAATATATAATATGTGCAAACAGCATTTATTTATTTTTTAATCTTATCAACGCCGAGAGTTTCTACTTTAATAGACATAACACTTTATGTAATTAAAAACAACTTGAATCAGGAGGAATCCATGCGCTGTCCTGTGGGGTAAGTCCCGAAAATAGTTAGTGTGGTCCTAAGTGAATCTCACCAAACACAGAAGTGGTGACGGGAGGCCGCTGTGTTGGTAAAGTGCCGGTATGTAGGGAAAAGCGCAAAGGGCGTTTGTTGCTGTAAAGATTGGAAACCCTGAACGCTGAAGGGTGAGGATGGTACTGTTGGTGGAACGATGCAGCTTCCTTTTTCTGCATCAATAGTGCAGTTCTGATACGGTTTGCCATCTCGGACCAAAATGGGCACCACGACTCTGCGCAGCACTGGAGGCTGATTGAGGTCCTGAGCGCACTCTATCCGCGCTCTCTTCATCTTGTATCTGTGGTTTTGGAACCAGATCTTCACCTGCGTGGGCGTGAGGCGTAGCAAGTGCGCGAGCTGCTCTCGTTCTGGAGCGGATAGGTACCGCTGCTGACGAAAGCGTCTCTCCAGTTCATAAGTCTGAGCCTTGGAGAACAACACGCGACGCTTCTTCCGCTTTTCACGCTCTGTATCCACTGAAAGCACGTCTGGTCCGGTGGAGTCTGGTGAAGCCTCAAGATTGCTCTCGTCTGACGCTAAAGAAAAAAAACATGATTAACCTTTATTTATCTATCCTCTGAGGAAAAAAAAAACGATATGTGTATGTATGTGCTTTACAGTTACCAAATGTTACATGTAGAACTTCAATGGTGAATCAAACTAAAATAAATTATAAGCCCTCATGATATGAACATTTAAAAACTTATTCTTAAAATTGACTGGAAAATGTTTTAAGAACTTACATATATGTCCTCTCTCGTTTTCAGTCCAGGACGAGTAAGGTGAGACGGAGAAGGGGTCCTCTGGAGAATGGTGCGCAATGCTCTCAGTGTCATTTTCTGGCAAATCTAAAATACTTCTCACAGTGAAACTGAACTTGTTAGAAATAGCCATCTGTAGCGCTGGATTTCTGTTAGTTCCAGGACTGGTTCTCGATCTTGTAGAGCTATCCTCAGTCGCGCAGTGCTGAAGTGATCTGTGCGTTCTCAAGACGCGCATCCAAGTGACGATGTGTACACTGATGTCGCGGTGTTTATATAAACAGCACTTGGTGGCTGCTTTGAGGCCTCTCCTCCTTATGGGTTCTAAGTACCTCAATGACTCGTGTACTTAAATCCCTGTAATGGTAGGTGTGAACTCGGTAAAGAATAGCCCGTTACTTTCACAATGATGGAGGGTAACACTCTTCATCATTACCGATTCGTCAGAATTCGTGAAAAGTGGGAAACAGATAATGGTAATTGTTGAGGCTGAATCACTTCTTGGGTGGCAAGTGACAACGAGAGCCCTCCCTTCTTTTCCCCCGCTCAAGTAACATATCGGATATTTGCATACAAAGTGATCCATTAGCGTCCCAGAGTTGGTTTTCCTAATTCGTTTATTGGGGTATTGTCGTTTTATTGCACAAACACGGGTTAAATGTGCACTCTCTCAGTACAGTGGGGTGATAGTTATTACATGGTAATTAATGAAATTTATATTCGTGGCTAATGGAAAAGTGGCTTGCCCTTGCATACAGTAAAAGCACAAAAATCCTTATTGCTAGAATTTTTTGAAATCGAAAGGATGTTTCCTTACAGCTAGCCTATATCCGACATTACACTATAGGCTACATTGCTGTTTGTTTTTACATCAGTTCTGTATAACTTAGAAGGTAATTTCTTCATAACGAGCGAGGAATCTGAAATAACTAAGAACTTCTATTTGGGAAAAGATCCAGACATCCAGGAGAAAGTAATTTTTCATTATGGATTATTGCTTACTCCTGCACCTCACCAGTAAGTGCACTAGGCATATCATTGGGTTCTGATGATTCC